CTACCTCCACCTCTTCCCAATGCAGAAGTCCTGTCCGACCAGAAGCAGGCCCCCGTTACCATGGAAACCACGAAAAGACTCAGTTGGCCCCAGTCCGCGGGCATGTGTAGTAGCAATATCAAATCGGAACCGCTTTCTTTTGAGGACGGCTTAAGCAGCAGCTGTGAACTGGGCATGAAACAAGTCTCCTACGACCAGAGTGAAATGAAAGAGCAGTTGAAAGCCTTCGCGCTGAAAAATGCAGATTTCTCTTCTTATTTGCTTTCTGAGCCGCAAAAGCCTTTCGCCCAATTAGCTGCTGCTCAGAAGATGCAGGTGCAGCCGCAGCCGCCGCTCTGCGGAAATTACCCCACAATACACTTTGGGAGCTCGAGCTTCAAAAGGGCGGCCTCGGCCATTGAGAAGTCCATCGGGATGTTGGGGAGCAGTTCCAACCCCGCCGCGGGCCTGCCGGGCCAGAACGCCCCGATGCCCGTGCAGAACTTCGCCGACAGCAGCAACGCGGACGAGCTGGAACTGAAGTGCTCCTGCCGGCTGAAAGCCATGATTGTGTGCAAAGGCTGTGGGGCCTTCTGCCACGACGACTGCATTGGGCCTTCGAAACTCTGTGTCGCCTGCCTGGTGGTGCGATAGGAGAGCTGCGGGGAAGATGCAGTATCCCTTTTGAGCACGGAAAAGCCAAAATAGTATCTGCCACGACACAGTGAATAGCTCAAATGTTTTAGACCATGTTAATTTATTTTTGCAGGGAGCAGATTGTCTTTGCTCCTTGAGGGGGTTCTTTTTTTCTCATATTTGTAAAAGAGGAGGGTGCCTCCTAGCTGAATGGCAAAGCCACATGCTTGTTCCAAATTGAGTTGCCCAGCCCCAGCTTCACAAAGTGTCTGTGTGTACCCAGGTCAGCGTCCCATTCCGTTGTGTTCCCCTTCTAGAGATGGCTTGAAGTCTATGGGTTGTATGGTGGTCAGTGATCTTGGCTGCTAACCAAAACGTTGGTGGTTTGAGCTCAACTAGAGGTGCTTCCATGGCAGCTACTTGGTGGTTGTAACAAGGGAAAAAGAAAATGTTTATTATAATATCCAAGGACGTCTGGTGAGGTAGTCCATAAGGAGTTGTGCTGCTAATCCAAAGACTACCCCTCGTCTGTGGTTGGAATCCATCAGAGGCTCTGAGGAAAAAAAGATGGGACAGCCTCCTCCCCTGCAATTTAAAGTCTTGGAAACTTGCAGTGGAGGTTCAATCATGAGTCGTTTCCCACTCAACAGCAATAAGGTTATTTTTTTTTTATGTTAATAACATTCAGGAATGCAAGTGTGAAAAAGGAATAGTGCAAGTGTAGATGGGTATACCACATAGATTAGTCCTTACAGAAAAAGTTTTATAGCAGATGCTTCCAGACTTTCACCATGCTGATAGCCTATTGGTGAGGGGTGTCGAATTTAAGTGAATGATTCCTTGTGTTGGCTCAGATCACAGCTGGTTCTTCAAAAGGAGGTGTGCTATTGGGGAAGCCCACTATAGTTTTTCTTCCCCCTTCACTCTTCAAGATGGAGACAGAATATCTGGATCCGCCTTGGCTATTTGTCCATGCAGTGCATTCAAATGTGTCTTACACTTGAAATTACATCCTGGGCCTCGGGTCCGGTCATCTGGTTCTGGCGTTTTGTCACTTGATAATGTATGATCAGTGGCAGATGGAGAGCCAAAAGCTCACAGGTTTTGAAGAGCAGTTGTGAAAAATGGCTGAAATGAAAAGCAAACGTAGAAGTGAAACACTATATATGCAAAAATATATAAATATGCTTTTAATGTAAATATTAGGCCATTTTATTCTAATATTGCTAGATATTAAAATTGAGAAGGGGATGACGGTAATTGTAGCTCTTTATTAATGACACTGGTGTGCTCTGACCTCTAGCTTCTCAAAGGTTGGCCACCTCATTTAGTCAGTGTCATTGCTGAAAAAGGGATTCCAGAAGGCTAGAGTTGACCTTTCAAACTTCAGTTTTTTTCCCTCATGATTTATGGTTCATATAAGTATATTTGACTCTCAAAGAGCCCTTATTTTAAGAATTGTTTTAGGTACTGCATGTTATATTCCCCCTCCCTTTCCATGTAACACATACTTCATGTGTGGGGGAGGGGGAGTGCTTTTGGAAAAGGGATATTGCATCTTCCAACTGTCTTCAGCGTTTATCCAGTAAAGTCTGAGTGCTGAGCATTTCAGCGACTTTGTGTACACTTTGACCACCATCATGCTATCGACCACCTATAGTTCAGAAGCCTCTGTTCCCAAAAGCAATTTCAAAAGCACATGAGCATTGTGGAAAGATGGGGGGGGGGGAACAAAACAAAACACAAACCCATGCCCTTTTCACTTCAGGTTACAGAGCACAAAATGTGGATCGCCCTTAACCCATCGATTCGATTGTGTCTGTGAAGTAAAAAACAGAAGCATGGGGGAAATGACTTATATCCAGGTTAAGAATTACAGAAATTTTCACTAAGGACCATATGGATCAACATAAACTTTTCAACATTCCCTGAAAATATGTCTCAAAGATTAACTGGAATGAGCAGGAATTACATTCCTGGGGGGGGGGTGTGCAGTGGAGGACTTGGCTGTTGTTGGGTTGTGTGTTCCCCCCCCATTTTTAATCTATAGTGTATGTTTTTCTCAATATTTATTGTAATATTGCCAAATTTCTTTAGGGAATGGAGAAGCCATTTATATTAAGATTGCTGATGCTGAAAGATACTTTTGCTTGTAAAAAAATTAAGAAAAATCTTGCCCCCATGGCCCAAATTAAGTGCTTCAGTACTATCAGTCCTATTTTTCACATTAAAATTAACAACAAAGGGTTATATCACTGAGCACAGTTGGAATGCACGTAACCAGCCCTTTCCAAGGCATTTAGAATCCATTCCCAGTGATTCCTTGGCTCAATCTACGTGCTCCGTTCTATGGAGGAGGCATCCGTATGCCTTTATGTCTTTATGGTTGATGTGACTCACATTGTCTTAAATCAGATCATCGTGCTCTAGTCTCGATTGTGTGGTACCCCAAAAATCATAGACAAATTTCTTCCAAATTCAGTCACCTCTGTCCGATACCAGTGTCAGATACTGTCTACACCAGCAGAATGAAAAACATCCCACCAGTAACTGACAGAGATGTTGAAAGAAACTCCAGTCTACAAACCAACTGCACATTCTATGAGAGGCTTAATTGAGGTGATGGTGACATAGCTCATTTTGAACGCCATCGTTTCTGCAGGTTGCTTACTGAAGATAAAGAACAGTGTTGCTCTGTTTTGATTTTTCACACAGTGAGCCTGGAGAATCAATTGGTGATGTCACACCCATTCTGTCACCCACACTGAAGAGAGCCTTATTGTAGAAACAATTATTCTGTCCCCTTGTTTTTATTTTTTCTGCCCCAGTTGAGGTTCCCAGTATCTTCAAATGGTTTATTTTATTGAAAACTTGGGCTAAGAGAAGAAGGGGGGAAAAGATAAATTGAGACATAAAATACGCGCCTAATATTCTCTAGGACTCCAGTTAGTAGATCTTCAAATGTCAGTTCATTTTAATTTGGCCAGAAGATTCCTAGGTTCTTCATTTCCACAAGTGTCTGCTTACGTGCAAGTGGAGTGAGTATATTAATTTACTATATGGTTTTTGTGGTGTAATGTGCAAATTTTAGTGTGTGCATCGTCTTAATTATTGGATGCTATTTCAGGAATAGGACATGCACACAGAAGGGGTGTGTGTGTGTGTGTGTGTGTGTGTGTGTGTGTGTGTGTGTGTCTCAAAGGACATATTTCCCTAAGTAGCACTTTTGGAGCAGGGGAAGGAAGAAACTGCTATTCCCCAACCCCCTCCTCTACGATATGCATATGCCTGAGGTGTACAAAGACATTTAGGTAGTTATTGGGCATGTTAATAAGAACGTTCTGATGCAAATTCATTTTCAAAATGAAAATTATTTCCTTCCCCCAAAATGAGAATAGCAGAAATGTGGTGAACTGAGCTCCATAGTTACACATGCTATTTCCCTGCTAAGCTCTCGGTTAAAGAAAAGGAAAAAAAAAAAGTAAAAAACAAAACCGAAAAACTTGAAAACAAACCTCTGAGGTTGAGCCTTGTACTATAAAGACTTTGTGGTGGTGTGTGTTTCTGGGACAAGCTACAGAAGGTTGAGTTGGTTTCTGGACCTTGGGTTTTTATTAACTCAGTTCAAAATAAACATACAAAACCAAGCCAGTGCATATGGTGCTTTTAGAAATAACTGCAGTCAAGAATAACGAGTTTCCTGATGCTGCAGCCCAGTTTTCTTTACAAACACTCGCACAATTCCAAAAGAGGAAGTTACCGTGGCCTCTGGCTTGCCAGTTCCTGGTGTCTCCTCAGTCCAGTGAAGTCCCGAAAAGCTTGACGCCAAGCTCAGGTTACTGTCTGTCTTGCACCATGTTAGCTGTCCTATGGGAGCCCCCTGCTGTAGGGACAGAGCCCAGGATCACTGTCCTATTTCTGTTTCCAGAGAACAATGTGAAGAGTCCTGGCAAAGGAACTCGTCGGACTGTCAGGGGCCGAAGTAGCCAAAATGTCACTGAATATTAAAAAAAAAAAAAAAAAAAACACAAACCCTTTCATCTTTAGTACTCATGCCCTATCACTGTAAAAATGAACAACAAAAACCCCAACATTTTTACTATAATTTAAAGGAGCTGCTTTTTTATAGCACATACTATTTCGCTTTGTATTATATTTGATAGTTTCTGAATAGACTGTAGGAAAACTTTGTCGTATCTGGACTGTCCATGAATGTTTCAAAGAAAGTGCTTTACTCAGTTGACATTTTCTTGTCCTGCTGTATCTGCACCCCTCCACTCCCACACCACCCCAGCTTTATGGAAAACTAATCTGATTGAACTTTTCAGACCCACTTCGTTTTGTTAAATGTGTGTATGTATAATTCTTTTTAAAAACTTTTGTTTGGTCAGTATTCTAAATGTTTACATCTGTTTGACATTAGCCATTTAATGCCTTTTTTTAAAAAGAAAAAAAAAGGTGGTATTACTCCCACAGTGTAACAGCAAAATGTGAAGTCTTTCCACATAGGACATGCATGACAAACACAGATTTGGGGGACAGAGACCCTACGCGTACATAGACTTTCTCGGTCAGCATCCAGAAAAGTCAAACCCTCTTCAGTCCTCTACCAAAGAATATATTCTTCCCACAGGAAAAACTCCGCAAAGGTGTGTCAAGCCCTCCAAAGGGGAAGCAGTCGATTCCCTTATGACTGCGACAATTTCATCCTGTTACGCTTGGAGACCTGGCAAAATGTGACTGCGCGTGCAACAAACATTTGAACAATTTTTAGACAGTGTTTGTTTAGAATTCAGGGATCATGCATTCTTTAATGGTGCTGTTTTATTTTCTTTTTTTTTATTTCTTTTCTACAAAAGAAAAAAAAGTGTTGCCTACAAAAGTGACTGCTCACGAGACCACAAGTTAAATGAAACGTTTGTCTTTTCATGTTCTCTGTTTCTCTCTTCCTCAAAGTAACAATTTGGGTTTCAATATTGAAATGTTCTGAAGAAAATAAAGACATTAAACATAAAATT